AAGGCATCCCAGGGCTTCCCTTGTGGCGCAGTGGTTGAGAGTCCGCCTGCCGATGCAGGGGACACGGGTTCGTGCCCTGGTCTGGGAAGATCCCACATGCCGTGGAGCGGCTGGGCCCATGAGCCATGGCTGCTGAGCCGGCGCGTCCTGAGCCTGTGCTCCGCAACGGGAGAGGCCACAACAGTGACAGGCCCGCGTACCGCAAAAAAAAAAATGGCATCCCAGGCCACAACAGTGACAGGCCCGCGTACCGCAAAAAAAAAAAAGGCATCCCAGTTGGAAAGGAAGAAGTAAGATTCACTATTTGAGATGACGTGATATTATATATAGAAAACCCTAAAGATTTCATAAAAAAAAAAACTGTTAGAATAAATTAATTCAGTAGAATTGCAGGATACAAAATCAATATACAAAAATCTGCTGCTATCAGAAATGAACTATCAGAAATAGAAATTACAAAAGCAATCCAATTTACAACTGCAACAAAAAGAATAAAATACCTAGAATAAATTTAACCGAGGAGTTCTGAAAGACGTGTACACTGAAAACTATATGACACCGATAAGGGACTTCCCTGGTGGCGGAGTGGTTAAGCATCCGCCTGCCAATGCAGGGGACACAGGCTCGAGCCCTGCTCCAGGAAGATCCCACATGCTGTGGAGTAACTAAGCCCATGTGCCACAACTCCTGAGCCTGCACTCTAGGGACTGCAAGCCACAACTACTGAGCCCACGTGCCATAACTACTGATGCCCGTGTGCTTGGAGAAGCCACCACAATGAGAAACCCACGCACCACAATGAAGAGTAGCCCCCACTTGCCTCAACTAGAGAAAGCCCGCGCGCAGTAGCGAAAACCCAATGCAATGAAAAATAAATAAATAAATAATAAAATAAAATAAAAAAAATTAAAGACAGTGATAAAAGAAATCAAAGAAGACACAAATAAATGGAAAGATATTTCATGCTCATGGACTGGAAGAATTAATACTGTTAAAATGTCCATACTACTCTAAGCAATCTATAGATTCAATGCAATCCCTATCAAAATTCCAATGGCACTTTTCAGAGAAATAGAATCAAAATTTGTATGGAACCAAAAAAGACCCTGATTGGAAAGCAATCTGGAGACAGAAGAACAAAGCTGGAGGCATTGCGCACCCTGATTTCAAACTATATTACAAAGATACAGTAATCAAAACAGTATGGTACTGGCATAAAAACACACACACAGATCAATGGAACAGAATGGAGAGCCCAGAAATGACACACGTATATGGTCAATTAATTTACAACAAAGGAGGTAAGAATTTACAATGGGAAAAGAACAGTCTCTTCAATAAATGGTATTGGGAAAATGGGACAGCCACAGGCAAAAGAATGAAACTAGACTACTACCTTACACCATACATAAAAATAAACTCAAAATGGATTAAAGAATTGAATGTAAGATCTGAAACCATGAAACTCCTAAAAGAAATCACAGGCAGTAAGCTCTTTGACAAGGGTCTTGGAAATGATTTTTTTGGATCTGACTCCAAAAGCAAAGTCAACAAAAATAAAAATAAGCAAGTGGGACTACAACAAACTAAAAAGCTTCTGCAGAGCAAAAGAAACCATCAACAAAATGAAAAGGCAACCTATGGAATGGAAGAAAATATTTGCAAATCACATACCTGATAAGGGGTTAATATCCAAAATATATAAAGAACTCGTGCAACTCAACAAAAAAAACAAGAAATCTGTTTAAAAAATGGTCAGAGGATCTGAATACATTTTTCCAGAGAAGACATACAAATGACCAACAGGCACATGTAAAGGTGCTCAACATCACTAACCATCTGGGAAATGCAAATCAAAACCACAATGATATATCACCTCACACCTGTTAGAATGGCTATTACCAAAAAGACAAGAAATAACTAGTGTTGGTGAGGATGTGGAGAAAAGGGAACCCTTGTGCACTGTTGCTGGAAATGTAAACTGGTGCAGCCACTATGGAAAACAGTATGGAGATTCCTCAAAAAAACTGAAAATAGAACTACCATACGATTCCACAATTGCATTTCTGGGTATTCATCTGAGGAAAACAGAAACACTAATTTGAAAAGATGTATGTACCCCCTTGTTCACAGCAGCATTATTTACAATATCCAAGATAAAGGAAACAACCCAAGTGTCCACCAATGGACAAATGGATAAAAGATGTGGTGTGCACGTGTGCACACGTGCGTGTGCACACACACACACACACACACACAGGAATACTATTCAGCCATAAAAGAGAATGGTATCTTGTCGTTTGTGACAACATGGATGGACCCTGAGGTCATTATACTAACTGAAATAAGTCAGAGAAAGACAAATACCATATAATCTCACTTATATGCAGAAACTAAAAAACAAAGAAAAAAACCCAAGCTCATAGATACAGAGAACAGATTGGTGTACCTATGGTTGCTGGGGCAGGGGGTTGGCAGTAGGGGAAAGGTAAGCAAAATGGGTGAAGGGGATCAAAGAGGACAAACTTCAAGTTATAAAATAGATAAATCATGGGGATGTAAAGTACAGCATGGTGACTATAGTTAATAATATATACTGCATTTCTGAAAGTTGCTAAGAGGGTAGATCTTAAAAGTCTTTAACACAAGAAAAAAAAGAAAACAATTTAACAATGTATGGTGATGGATGTTAACTAGCCTTACTGTGTTGATCATTCTGCAATGTGTACAAATATCAAATCATGTTGTACACCTGAAACTAAGATAATGTTACGTGTCAACTATACTTCAATTAAAAAAAATGGAGTAAGAAGTTACAATGCAGAGATCACAGGTATACTTCTACAGGACAAATATACTCATTTACAGCATGATATACCAATTCAACGAGGGCTGCATCCCGAGCAACTTAAATAGAAATGAAGATGCCATGCTCTGGAGAGCCAGGTCAGAGGAGCAGCACGTGGCTCCAGGACCAACACACGTATGTGAGGAGCACGAACAAAGACATTCTGTAAATTGTGAGAGCAGAAAAACAGCAGTATTTTTAAAACAAGTATGTTATTTTCTATAATCTAGTTTGTGTATAGTTTTGTGTATAGCCAAGCTAATAGAACGAATATTATACATATACTTTAGACTAGCTCATCTTCATTTTTAAAATCATGTATTTTTTTTCCCTCCTTTTTTTTTTTTTTTGGCCATGCAGTACAGCTTGTGGGATCATAGTTCCCCAACCAGGGATTGAACCCGGGCCCTGGCAGTGAAAGAGCTGAGTCCTAACCACTGTACCACCAGGGAATTCCCTAAAATTATATACTTTCAAATTGGCCAAAAAATTTTTTCAATTCTCTCAGTGGGACAATGGGGGATGCTTAATGCGGTTATCTTATAAAGGTGGACACAGGCTATAACCTCAAAATCATCTCACGCAGCATGCTTCCCAGACCCTCCCACTGTGCTGGGGTGCCAGCTCATCTGGGCCCCTTCTCCTTCTGCACTCTCCTTAGGAAAATGGCCCTCAGGCCCAGGCCTTTCACCCCACCCCTTTGCTCAAGCCTCCACACAGTTCACAGTATGCTGGCTTGGCATCTCTGCTGCAGGTCCAGCAGGTACCTTACACTCATCACAGCCAGACAAAACTCTCGACGGCCCACAATCCCCCCTCCACCTCCTGCCCACCCCCATCCAAGCTGGTCATCCCTTAGCTCAGCAAATGGCCCTACCATCCACACAGTTGCTTGGGCCAGAAATCTGGCAACAGCTTTGAAACTTACAGTCCTCACTCCCCGAAATCCAATCTACCAGTGAGACCTGTAAACTCCACTCCTGGAGTGGACTGTAAATCCTCCTGCTTCCATCTCCATCAGTCCAGTGGTTCTCAACCAAGGATGATTTTGCACACTGCCCCACCCCAGGGGGCATTTGACAATGTTTGGAGACATGTACGGTTGTCAAAAGTGGGAGAGAGGTGCTACTGGAATTTATGGGTAGGGGTCAGGGGCTGCTAAACATCCTACAATGGATAGGATGCCCTCCACAACAACAAATTATCTGGCCCCAAATGTCAACAGTGCTAAGGCTGAGAAACCCTGCCCTAGTCCAAGTCAACAATGTCTCTCATTATTTTCATTGTCACAGTGCCCTTCATTATATTAAATATACTTTCCTCTTACTTATCATTGGCCTCCTCACTACTGCAATGTAATCCTCTTGGGAACACAGACCTTGGCTGTCTTATTCCCCTCTGCATCCTCAGTGCCTGGCACACATAGGTGCTCTATAAATATCTGACGATGAGTAAGTAAGTGTGAAAGACAGAAGTAGCAGCACTTTGATTTAAAAAATGTAAAATGTAAGAGAAGTTCTTAACCTTTTATGCAGTCAACAGCTTCAAGGTTTATAGATGTTTTGTCCTCATAACACCCATCATACTAACAACTCCTGTGCTGCTCACAGCGGGGACTTTCTTCCTTGCTCAGCTAAAAAGGAAAATGTCGGGCATATCCATGCAATGAGATCTTACGCAACCAATAAAAATGAGGTTTTTAAAGAATTCTGACATGATAAAATGCTTATAATGTGATTAATGGAAAGGGAAAAATAAAACTATGTATTTCAATCTAAATATATATTTATGTAACACACTCAGGATCAGGTGGTTATCTATGGACTGTAGGATTAAGAGTGGTTTAAGTTTTCTTTTTTCTGCTTCCTTGTCTTTTCTAGTTTTCTATTCATAAAAAAATATTAACTTTTAAAAAAGCAAGTTGCACTTCATAATGAAAATAAAAGCCAGGTCACAGGAACAAGCTAGAAGTGCTAGGACTGCAATGACCTTAAGCTATTTAACTGAAGAGAATCAAGTTCTAAGAATAGCTCAAAAATACCCTTCTTCAGAATCTATTTTCTGAGTCAAGGAAGCCAGGAGAGAATCAACTTCTAAGAAAACTTGTCTGGCAAATGTGAGAGATGGCGGAGACCGCCTCAGGACTCCAGACCTGTGAGTATCTGCAGCCGGATCTGGGTTAGAGTTGTCAGTGAGGTCTGGTAGAGGACGCAGATGTTGCAAACCTTCTGTACCTCCGCAGAATCAACACGTTTACCCCCAACAGGCCTGAGAATATTCCGAACTGACGCCGACTTCTGAAATGCACGCTTCAGGAGAGCTGGCATGGAGAGAAGGAGGAACGTGTGAGCAGAAGTTCAGCCATCTGCCAAACTCCACCCCATAAAGGGAAGAGCACTTCAGTAAAGCTCCTAATTTCCAGCCAGAGCCAGACAGTGAGGCTGCAGCTTTGATTCAAATCATCTCTTTTGGGTAAATCAGAAAAGCAGTAACAAAAGGTTTTTTAGACAGAACACAAAGACCTCTTTAGAACAGCACAAGATCTGTCAGAACAAGACAAACATATTGGATTCTTACTGTGGATTCTTTTACTGTAACCACTTAACTTCAGAACCCACAAAGGTGAAACTTCCAAGGACTGAATTATGGGAAGAGGGGCAAAGGTGGGGGGCCTGGCTAATTCCCAATGTTCTGTGCTTTCAGAGGGAAGTAGGAGCATCAACCTCAAGTGCTCACTATCAGTTTGGGGTCGTACTCTCAGCTTACACCTTCGCATCTATACCCTGCTGAAGTTACACTGAGCCCATGCTCGCCGACAGCTGCAAGATGGAGCTTTGTGACACGATGGGTGGCAGAAGAAAAACCACACTGAACCTGGCAATCTGCCATAGGCAAGTCCACTGAATTATGTGTTAACAGCATTGCCTTACTTTTATCAGAGTGCGCAATAAGAAACCTTTCCAAGGAACCCATTAGTGAGCCTGCAACGGGGATGCCGCTGAGGTGGTAGCCTGGTCAGTGACCACTACCACCTGTATAAGCAGCTCCACAGGGGAGATTTATGATTAGGAACTCAGAAAAGCTCTACTTCCCCTAAGAAATAGATCCTCCTCCTTCTTCCTACTAATGAGAAGTAATAAAGGGTCCATAAATCCCTTTTCATTTTTGGCCACTGGAAATTCAGAGCCAAATGGAAGTTCAGAGATAAGCAGGGCAGCCCTCACGGATCATCTGTGGATGTTCTCTACGCACAACCTTGATTTTGTTTACATAGTTACATTTCCCTAGTCCTTGTTTACTATCCCTAAGGACTTCCAGTCACTGTTTTGCTAAACGTGAACTTGGTTTAAGCCGTCTCAAAATCTTCAGGGGAGAAGTCGGAGGTCACATGACAGAGGGGAGCAGGTACACAGGGCCAGTCAGGCGCTGCACTTCGGGGAAGGAGAGCCACTCACTCTTCACGGGAAGCACATTCTGTGGGGACGCTGGCGGCGCGTGGACCAGCTCCTGGTTCTCCAGCAGCTTCTTGCTCAGGACGTCACTGAAGAAGATCCGGATCAGAGGCGCCCCCCACAGGAACTGCAGCTGTCTGCTGACCAAGGGCATGGACTCGTTCAGGCTAGGAAAGAGCAGGAGAGCGCGCACGTCAGTTCCACCTGCTGGATGGCCACACGGTAGGGTAGCTGGGGACTGCCACTCAGCATGGCAAGTAAGACGCTAAAAGAGAAGTGGGATCCACAAATTGCCCGAGGCCTGGATGCAGACGGCACCAAGCTCTTTCTTGGCTCTCTCGCTCCACAGACTTCCTGTGCTGCCAGCAGCACTGTTGCTCCCCCCAGGCCCCACGTGTCACAGTCACGTCCCAGACACCCTCTATCTGTTCTTCATCCTAATTCCATCCTGTTTACCACCCAGTTGACAAAGGCGTCCTGATGCCTACTGCGTTGTCCTCTTCATAGCTGGCTTGCAGGCCTGGCCTACAAATCTCGATGAAGAGGGGGAAGTGGTGGAAGAGAGGCAGGCAGAGACAAGGAAGACGGTGATCTGCCTCCAAACTCACCCATAGTCCACGGATTGGGAGAACCAGCCAAGGACAGGGTGCCAGTGGGTCAGGTTGGATTTCTTCTGAGACACGTACTTCTGACAGTAGCAGAGCATTTGGGTGAGCAAACTCACAAACCCATCTGTCTCCTCCTCTAACACCCTGGGGCTGAGGGAGCCCAAGTGCAGGAGGTTGCCTACGAAGAGAGAAGGCTGAGTGCGGTAGGCCCGGACAGACACGCTTCCTCACCTCCCAGCCCTGCTCTCTGCCTGGGGCTCATGCATCCATGTCTACGTGCAGGAAGAAATTCCACGTAGAGAGGAACCCATCAGTGCTGGGGCTGCAGTGCTGTGCAGGGCTTAGAAACAGGCAGACCTGGCCTCAAATCCTGGTTCTGCCAGAGGCGAGCTAGGTGACCCTCAACCTATTTCTTGAGTCTGTTTGCTCATCTGTAAGACTGGAGTGATGACCCCCACTCTTGATGTGAGGACTATATGAAGTAACGTGTAAAATGTCAGGTACACAGATTTTTAAGTTAGTATATGTTTTTTTACACCAAGATTCTAAAACCAAGGGTCAACACAAGAAATGACCTCCTGAAGAATAGCTGAAAAGTCCTGGAAAATCACTGTTATTCAGTGTTCACTGCATTTATTTAATGTTTTCTGTGACGACTCTTACCATCAACTCCCTTAAAATGTAGCCCCAAGAACCTTTTTCTATGTAAAATAAATTTCCTCTAATTAGGCAATGAGAGTTGTGTACCTCTGCTGTTTCAAATGCTTCTCTATCCTCAAACCCTTTTCTCATCTAAATGAAAACACTGTAAAATAGACATTGTAGACCCTACTCTGATCTAAGCCCCACCAAACTGTGCTCTCTTCTCTCTTGAGATGAGAACTATCCAGGTAACTCAACACATTTTCATTTTTCCCTTGGCTGCCAGGAAGCTAAGGGCTGAAATTTAACGTTCATTTACAGTCACTCAGCTAGTTTGCCAGGGTGATGTATTTTTCCATGTGATTTTCAGTTTCATGTGTCTACTTAAACTGTTTACCTCATTACCTGTCTTTTATTGTAAGCACTTCCAACTTTTACTAAAAACAGCTTGTGGCCTCCAGAATGGTGGAAAGCAAAACACCTGGGCTTTTCCCAACGCCCAGAACACAATAAAATTCCAGCCATAGATACTTACCCATGAGACAAAGTGTATGGCACCCTTCTAAACTTTCACATACATCACGGCATCGATCTTCGTCTCTTAAAAATGTGATGAATTTACGGAGCATGTCATGAGATTCTAAAATAGTGAGGCGCTGCAAACAATCGTAGACTGTTAAAGCGGAAGCTGATAAAAGGAGCTTCCCACCAGAGTGTGAACTCTATCCCTGCAGATCACCCCCTATAGCTGCCAAATGTTATCCATCACCAAGCAGAAAATGAACAAAGATGAGACCCTTTTTCTCTGGGCTTCTAACACAAGTGTGTCTACGGTAGCTATTGATTTAGGAGAACCATCAGGAGACGAAGTAGAAATTAACAGAGAAAACATTTTACTTCCTATTTTAAAGACAAAGGCAAAGATGGAATTGGGGGAATTCAGAGCCCACTCACCTCGGGGGTCACTGTGCTGAGATGAGTCACGAGAGCGGGCACAGACACAATGTGGATGAGGAACGGCCGGATCAGATTGTCTGAAAATTGTGCAGCAATCACAGGGCTAGACACAGACATACCACCTTACTCAGACACGTTTAATGTGAACGTGGAACAAAAGAACAACACTACCAACACCCCCAAATCCCTTGGAATTATGCTTCACAGGACTTCTAGGAAGACTGAAGGCTGAAAATGGGCCCATTCACTGGGGGAAGTTTGAGTAAGTGATACTTTAGTCTATGACGCAGCTATGAAAAATCAATTTACTGAAGTTTTACTGACATGAGAGAATCCTCATGCTATAATCAACTTTTAAAAAAAAGCAGAATGAGAAACTATATACATGGGAGAGGAGGATGAGGATAGTGACTGGAAAGGAGGAAAACAGGGGCTTCTGGGGTGCTGCTACTGTTGTTCTATTTCATAGGTGGGGTGGTGCTTACATGGGTATGTTTACTGGGTGATAAGTCACCAATAACTCATACTTTAATTAAGCAATTTATTCTGAATATATATCCAGATAATAAATGGAACAAGGTGAGTTTGGGAAGGTTCCCATGGGCCATTAATTTAAGAAATGTATATATTGATCTTAGAATATAAAAATGTGTTGAATATATGAAGCAAGTATGAAGAGTAAGGAATAAAAAGTGTGGGCTCTGGAGTCAGATGGCCCAGGTTTAATTCCAGGCCCTGCCCCTCCCGGCTGTGTGACCAAGGGCAAGTGACCTAACCTCTCTGGGCCTTAGCTGCCTCATTTATAAAATGGAGATAAGAGAATGTGGTGAGGAGTCAGTTAATGTGTGTAGAAGTCTTAAAACAACGTGCAGCCCGTGAATGTTAGCTATTTGTATTATAGGACTTGGTGATCACATCTAAACATATCAGTTATGACTTCATAGACTTTTAGTAGTAGTATCTACATATTGTATGACAAAACCACTGAATATCTTGTTTTACAAGGTCCTGGTCCTGTTCAATTACTTACAAATATTCAGAAGAGGAAAAAAAGTGCACTATGCAAGAAAAAGGCTTTAGAACAGCCCGGCCTTAACAAGTGAGTCAATGGATTCTGACATATGGAAAGAAAAAACTTAAAATGATGGACGCTATTATATTCTCAAAGGAGAAGAAACATGGTGGAATGACTAGATGACCCTCTTGGTGGATCACAGTGTGAACTGCAGCCACAGTGGGACAGGGGAAGGATGCTGGGACGGAAAGATGACTTGTGTTCTTGGGAGATGGAAGACAGGGGAGCTAGAGGATGCTGCTGCGCTCCTGGGCTCAGGCGTCTGTGTGTCAATCCTCCACTGTCTGTGACAGAGGAGAGGGTGGGCGATGCTGCTGGAATGAGCTGCTCAGGTGACTCAGGAGAGGGAGCTGCAGTAAACCTGATCTAGGAAAACATGTGTTACGACTCATTAAATACATCTCTATGTAACTCCTCTCAAAGTATGTAACGAACGTATGACTGTTACCTAGATAATTTGTTCTACTTCTTTAATCATAGCATAACCAGTTGGATTCTGTTCCTGCTATCAAGGTCTAGCCTCTAGAGGTATGCTGTCCAATGCAGTAGCCACTGGCCACATGTCAGGGGCTACTGAGCACATAAAATGTGGCTAGGCCAAATTCCTATGTTTTAAGTGTAAAATATCCACCACTTTTTGAGGACTCAGCACAGAAAGAAAAATTAATAAATTATTTAATTTTAATTAAAATAATTTAAAAGTATTGATTCCATGCAAAAATAATAAATTTGGATATAGCAGTTTATATAAAATATATCATTAAACTCAATTTCCCCTTTCTTTTGACTTATTTAATGTGGTTCTCATCATATTTCTATTGGACGGTGTACACCAGCCTTGTCCAATAGAACTTTTGGTGGTGATGAAAATGTTTCACATTTGTGCTGTCAATATGGTTTTTAACTAGTCACGTAGCCCCCAAGCACTTGAAATATGGCTAATGAAACCAAGGAATTGAATTAATTTTATTTAATTTTAATAAATTTCCATTTAAACAGTCCCACGTGGCTAATGGTTAGTAGAAAACACAGTCTAGATCAGGTCGGCAAACTGTGGCCCACAGGTCAAAAACTGCCCACTGCCTGTTTTTGTAAATAAAGTTTTATTGGAACACACAGCTGTTCTCATTTGTGTATGTACTGTCTATGGCTGCTTGGCGGCTATAGTGGCACAGTAGTTGTGACAGAAGCTGCGTAGCCCGCAGAACCAAAAATATTTACTAGCTGGCCTTTTGCAGAAAAAGTTTGCCAACCTATAATCTAGACCATCATTTTTCAAATTGGTGTTCCACGGAAAATGATTCCACAGGATAGTAACAGACATGTTCCATCATCTAAAACTTGGGCAAGAGTACTCCACGTTCAGATATGTTTCGGTCAAATCAGGTTAAACAAGCCCAAAGAGTTTGCTACCACAGGATCTGTCAGAGCTTTCAGCAGGAAGGTGCCCGGTGAATT